TATTACATTCATGTACTCTAATAAGTTCAGCCCAACCCCTAATTTTGTAGGTGAGAAAACTCACTTGCCTCAAGTCACATAGATAGTAAAATAGTGAAACCACAATGAGAACCAGATCCAGTATTCTTTCCATTACAACACACAGCATAGGCTATTCTCAATTGAGAAATCCAAAAGTTGTGCATATATAAGAAATATAACTTGTGTTAGGATTACAAGCCCATTCTTTATAAGTTTGAAGATGAACTATGAAAAAGGAGGACTCAGTATAGATATGTTAGATTGTGAGCTCTTTCAGAAACTGTCTCTCTCTCTCTCTCTCTCTCTCTTTCTTTCTCTCTCTCTCTCCCCATCTCACACACACACACACACACACACACACACAGTACTTAGCACAGTGCCCGACACATAGTAGGCTCTTAATAAGTGTTTATTGATTCATTAACTCAATCTAACTCTAATCCTCAAACTAAGACATATTGGGAGTCAGAAGACCTGGGTTTGATCTAACAATATTGAGCCCAAACCCCCCTAATGTAACTCTCTAAGGTAGGAGTTTTTAATTTTTTCTGTGTTATGGACCCCTTGGTCAGTGTCTGAGAAAGCCTATGGATCTCTTCTATCATAAAGGTTCTTCTTCCCTCCAAAAGTTTAAAAATATAAAAGAGCACCTGTAACAAACAAGAGATTTAATCTCTCTAGTTGTGGAAAGGTACATCTGGTAACCTGATATTTATGACAGCACAAATAATTCGATGGTATGGACCAAGCATAAGTTCTTCTGTGATCTCTTCTTACTGCTCAGTACCCTGCAACCACAACTATCTCTCCCACACAGGATATATTTGACCGCAGGATATAAGGTCATGTTCTAAGACATGTGCTAGGGATGTTGTTTATCATTTGTAAAAAGTTCACCGTAGAACCTATGATTTTGTGACTCTTTAAAGCAAAGGTCAGCCACCCAGTAACTTATAAACGAAACCAGTTGTCCAACATTTCCCTAGGTTCCATCAGGTACCTTTGGCAGAAGAAGCAGAAGGAGCAGGAACAAAGTAAAGATGGAGGAAAAAAAGGAAAGAGGGAAAGAGAAAAGAATGAGAGAGAAAAAGTAACAGAGAAGAAGGAAGAGAAATAGAAGAGAGAAGAAAGGACAAAGTGAGATGAAGAGAGAGAAAGAGAATAAGAGGAAGAGAAGAGAGGTGCAAGGAGAGAGAAAAAGGATAAGAGATAGAAGTAGAAAAGTTGGGGGAAAAGAGGGAAAGGAGAAGGAGGAAAATGGAGAGAAAAATGAAAAGGGGAGAGAGGGGTTTAAAGTGAGAGAGAGAGATGGAAAAAGGGAGGAAGAGGGGTAGAGAAAGGGACAGAAGTGGAAGGAGAGTTAAGGAGAACAAAGATTTGCTTTCTGGTAGAACTGGATATTGGAATCAGCGAGACACTGTTCTTGGTGTCCCTATTCCATTCCCACTCTCCATAGCATGTGTTTTCCCTGATCATCTGATAAATATAGAAATATAGGAAAGATTGGACTCAAGATTTTCTTAAAATCACAGTAAGTGCCAGACTTCTCATTCCAGATAAACTGGTTTAACATGGGGCAACTGATAGTCCTACTGGTAGATCTGGAGTTTTTTAAAGAATGTATCAGTTTGGGGCAGCTAGGTGGAGCAGTGGATAGAGCAGGGGCCCTGGAGTCAGGAAGACCTGAGTTCAAATTCGACCTGAGATACATAACACTTACTAGCTGTGTGACCCTGGGCAAGTCACTTAACCCCAATTGTCTCACCAAAAAAAAAAAAAAAAAAAAAAGAATGCATCAGTTCACTGTGATCTAGTCAACCAAAGACAGAGCAAAGTAGGAATAAATCAGTGACCCTCAATCTGGCTGCTGAATCTGTCTGATTTGAAGGTTGCAGAGGTCCTGTGTTATTTATAAAAATGATATCTGGAGCCCATTTAGTGAACTTACTAGACATAAAAATGCCATACCCTACCCCCAACTTTTCCCTACTACAGTCCCCTAGTGGCAATAGACAAACCGGTTTCTCATGGACAGAATTGTAACACTCACTTAGGGCAAACAGCTTGAAAGAATCCTAAATCAACTTTTCAAGGTAAATTTAGCTGTTGGGGAATGTTTAGATGTTGGGGAAAGGCTTCATAATGCAAGGGCCCATGGTGGAAGATTTCAGCACACTTTAAGATTGTGGAGGTCAACAACGGCAATGGTGAAGATGGCAAATTGGCATGGTCACCTAAGCACACGCTGCAGGAGCTTCTAATTTTAACTAATTATTCTTGCTAATTAAGGAGCAGCCTCAATTAGTTCTAGCTGCCAAAGGAATACAGGTTGCGCTGGTGTCGTCTCATTTCCGGTCCCCCAAGACAAAGTCCAGATGGCCTCTCCCTAAGTGCAGCTTAGCTCTCGGATCCTTTCTAAATTGAAGCTGCCCAGTCAGGTAAGTTCCTTAGCCTTTCACTGAGGCTGGGGGGTTTGGAGAGGCTAGTGTAACCACACAAATACAGGTCAACTACTTGTTTGCTTTCCAACCAGAAGAATTAAGGGTCTTGTAGAATATGAAAGAAATGATAGCAGTATCATATCTCACACACAACTTCCTGCCGTTCTCTCCCGTTTCTTATACACAGGCACATTGTTTTACTCTCACATTCACTGACTTAATTGATCAGTTTTATCTCACAATGGCAATGATGCATTAGATGCAATGCAGACTATCAATTTCTCCTGTGGGTACAGTCATAAGATTAAAAGATTTTGAGCTGAAAAGGAAGGACCTTAAAGATCCTTGGATCCAAGGCTCTTGTTTGACAAAGCTTAAAGATCCTTGGATCCAAGGCTCTTGTTTGACAAAGCTTAAAGATCCTTGGATCCAAGGCTCTTGTTTGACAAAGGAGGAAACTGAGGTCCAAGAATATAAATGACTAGCCCAGGTAGCAAGCTGAAGAGCCAAGATTCCAACCCAGGTCTTTTGACTCTCAGTATATCCCTATTAATCCCTCCTTTTTTCATAGTTAAATCCCAAACTCATATAGAGCGGGCTTGTGGTCCTAACAATAGCTACATTTCTTATAGCTAGCATAAACTTTGAATGTCCTATGCAGTGTGTTTTAATGGAAAGAATACTGACTGTGGGGTCAGAGGATGTTAATTCCCATTCTGGTTCCACTTCTTTTTTTAATATCTATCTTACCTGAGGCAAGTCATTTTACAGGTGAGATTCTTTACCTATAAAATGAGGGGATTGGACTGAGTTAATTATGGTAGATGAATGTAATGGAATGCTATTGTTTCATAAGAAATGAAATAGATGGTTTAAGAGAAACATGGGAAGAGTCATATAAGCTGATTTATAATGAAGTGAGCTGAACAAGGAGAACAATTTATATTATAGAAATAGCATTGTCAAAACAAGCAATTTTGAAAGACTTAGGAACTCTAATCCATGCAATGACCAAATGAGATTACAGGTAACTGATGAGGAAGCATGTTACCCACTCCTGACAGAGAAATGATGGCCTCAAGCTGTAGAATGAGGCATATTTTTTGGACATGGCCAATGGGAGAATTTGTTTGGCTTGTCTATGCACATTTGCTACAAGGGTTTTGTTTTTCTTTTTTAGGGAAAAGTGGAAATAGGAAGAGAAAAAGAATGGATACTTGTTAATTGAAAAAAAATAAAAAGTAATAAACTTAAAAATAAATAAAGTGCAGGAATTGCACTAAATCGTTCCTAATGTCTCTTCAAGCTGTAGATCATTGAAAACCCTTGTCCACAAAATTATCCACAGTGATCTGGACTCTTGTTCACCCAGACCCCTGGACAGGCTTGGGGCTCCTGGGAAGAGGGTAGAACTGAGATGGTTAGCTTGAGGTCAGTCTTGGGGGAAGGAGGAGGTAGAAGAGACAAGGACAAATGCATCTAACTATGTTCCAAAGTCAACCATAAATGACATTTGCATCCTTCCTTATCTTACCTACATCTTCCTCTCTGTACTTTAACACCTCGAATTCAGAGTTGACTCATTATGGGAAATACAGAGATACAAATCTGTTTCTTGAATGAGGTGATATGAACAGAACTGAGACATCACTTTGAGAGGAGGAGGGACAAACTGCTTCTCACATGACATGGTCTTCAGTTTCTTTATTATGCTGATCCCTTCCTGTAGAGGTAGGTGGGGCTGTAGTAGAGTGTCAGGTCTGGAGTTAGGAAGACCTGAGATCAAATCCAGCCTCAGACACTTATCATCTGTGTGATGCTGGGCAAGTCACTTAACCCTTGTTTGCCTCAGTTCCTAATCTGTAAGATGAGCTGGAGGAAGAAATGGCTAGGTGATGCAGTGGATAGAGTTCCCGGCCTGAAGTCAGGAAGACTTATCTTCCTGAGTTCAAATCTGGCCTCAGAAACTTATTATCTGTGTGACCCTAGGCAAGTCACTTAACTCTATTTGCCTCAGTTTCCTGGACTGCAAAATGGGGATAACAATAGCTTCTAACTCATAGGTTTGTGTTAAGGATCAAATGAGATTTTACTTTGTAAAAGTATTTAGCACAATGCCAGGAACATATAGGTGCAGTATAAATGCTTATTCACTTCCTTTCCCCTGACTTCCTTTATGCTGTCCATCTTATGAGTGTCCTTAAAAAGTGTGCCTATCACTAAGTACAATGCTCCACATGTTGTCCAGTAAGGCAGAAAGAGAAGAGTGGGACTTTCATCTCCCTTGTACTTAACACCGTGCCTCACTTCATGCAGCCCAAGATCTCGTTAGCTTTCTTGCTTGTGATATCTTGCTGTTGACTCATATTCATTGAGCCTGCAGTCTATTAAAACCCTTAGAAGAGATTTCAAGGGGAAAAAATCAAATGTTTGCCACATGTCTTTCTTCTTAACCAAAACTTCCTCATGCTCTTTATTCCCTCCAATACCAGAATCCCACACAAACACTGTTCCCTTTGAAAGGAAAAAGGTAGGAACATACACAAAGTTACAATGTTTCACAAGATATCATCGATGCTGAAGGATCATGAAGAGAATAGGTGCCCAAATGTTCCATCCATGTGCTCTTTGTCTAGCCAGGGATACTGTTTGAATTTCTCAAAGATATCAGAGAGGTGCTTCTTGAACTTTTCCCCTACAAAAGCATAAATTATAGGGTTGACACAGCAGTGGGTGAAGGAGATGACCTCAGTTATCTGGGTGGCCTGGGTGAGTTTCTGACTCAAGTCACACCCATCCAGTATATGCAGGTTGTGTAGGGAATTCAGGAAGAGCATCATGTTAAAGGGAACCCAGAAGAGGAAAAGTGCCACCACTACGATGAGGACCAGCCTGATGGCCTTGATCTTGTGATGGTTCTGACACCCCTTCAGGTGCCTCAGGATGTTGGCATAACAGTAAACAAGGATGCTGAGTGGGATGACAAGGCCCAGGATATTGATTTCAAAGTGGGTGATGAGTTTCCACTCAATAGTTCTGTCATCATAGAAGGACTAGCACTTGAGGGTGCCCTCCTCGGAAGACACCTGGTAAAACACCAGCAAAGGGACAGAGGCTAAAAAAGCCACCAACCACACCAGGAGGCTGACAGCCACGCCCTTCCTGGTTGTCTTCACCCTCAAGGCATAGACTGCATGGACGATGGCCAGGTACCTGTCCATGCTCAACATGGTGATGAAAAAGATGCTGCTGAAGAAGCCGATATAATAAACTCCTGAGATGACCTTCCACAGGGTGTTCCCAAAGACCCACTGGTCCAGAGTGTAGTGTGTCAGAAAGGGGAAGGAGAACACGAAGAGCAGGTCAGACATGGCCAGGTTGAGCAGGTACACATCAGTCATGCTTCCCAGCTTCTTACAGGCTACCAGAACCAGAATGACCAGGGCATTCCCCAGCAGGCCCAAGACAAAGAGGAGGCAGCAAAGCAAAGCAAGAAGCAGAGAGCTGGAATGCAGTGCGGCAGGAGCTGGACAGCCAGTCTGGATAATAATTTTCTGTGGTCATGGACCCATTTGACTCCAGGGTGTAATCCATCCCAGCTCCTGATTTCACCTAATTTTAGCTCTCCAAGGCAGTCTGTAGATCTTCCCTCTCCTAACTTGAACTATCATACTATTTCTCAGTTTTTATGAAACGGCTTCCAATGAAATATACTTCCGCAGTATGGGTGTGTTTGCTATAAGCTAGGTTTAGCTAAAAAAGGAACCACTATCAAAGGTTGGTTCCTCCCCTCGTTTTCCATTTCCCCCTCAGTGGTCTGCAGCATTTGGTTTCTTTTTAATACCTACCATCAAGCACCTCTCAACTTGACTCTAATCCCTTCACATCCACATCTGTAGTTTTTAGGTGTAGGTCCCGGCACTGGTAAACCCTAGCAGCTTATGGTGCCATGCCAAGAAAACTTAAATCACAAAAATTTGACACAGAACATTTCCATGTTAGGTCTTGGTCCAAAACCCACTCTTGGCAACAGTGTTTATCTGATTGACTCCTTAGAGTCAGTGTGGTACAGTGGGTAGAAAGTGAACCTCTAAGTCAGGAAAAAGTGGGTTCAAGTCTTGCCCTTGAAGCATACTGGGTCTGTGACCTTAGGCAAGTCACTTAATCCTAACCTTTGGCAGGAGGTCTTTCTTAGTCTCCTCCCCTCCTGCCCACTCAGAGGCAAGTCATACAGAAATCCTTTTGGTCTTCAGTGTGCAAAGGAAATGGTAATTCATTTCCTTTCATGTGTTTTTCCCTATTAATAAAACCATAACATTTCTAACGTTAAACCATTTGACAGTGGCAAAGACTTTGGCAGTAAGAACTTTTTTCCCCAGGTCTTGATCAAGTAGCTGTGACTCCTGGGGAAACAGAGGCTGCAGAAGTCATTACCAGGTCCCATCTCTACAACAACTGATTCCCTGCATGCTGGCTGTGGAGATTGGGCCAGAAACAGGGCTATTCCTGGAAACAACCTATTCCTAGACTGTTGGGCTTAGGATCCTGGGCTATCTACACTTGAGTCCTAGGGGATGTGGTAGCAGTGATTTGAGTTGCCCATCACATGATGTCTCCTGTCTCTCTCCCTTATGGTGCCTTGCCACTTTACCTAGGTTTGCTGGGTGGCTGATGGTTAGTAGTAGGTCGGGTTGGTAGGCCCATTAGCCACAGGGATTGCTGTCCTGGATGATGGCTGCAGGGGCTAGGATAGAAGTAGGGACAGTGTTCTGAGGGATGATGCACTTATTCAGGGCTCCTGGGATTATCTGCCCATTGCTGGCAATTGATGTTGGTGGTGGTGGTGAAGATGGTGGGTTCATTCTTCATACAGGTTGCTCCTTAATGCCTTACATCAAGTACCTCTCAACTTGACTCTAATCTCTTCACATTCACATCTGTAGTCTTTAGGTGTAGGTCCCAGCACTGGTAAACCCTAGCAGTGAAGATGGTGGGTTCATTCTTCATACAGGTTGCTCCTGCTTCTGACGTATATTGAGTATGTGACCCTAGGTAAATTGCTCAACCCTTCAAAGCTTTAGGCAACTCCCTACAACTATCAGTTTCATAGAAGTTGGTATTGATAGAGGGCACTTTCCCACCTGGGAGTTCCCTATACCTGTGAAATCACAGTCCATTCTCCATACTTAACACATGTGAAAGCATTTAAAATATATAGCATGTCTCAAAAGTCTTAGAGCCAGTCTAACAGCTTAAAACAGCATTAAATTTTTTTAAGAAATTCTGTATAATTATGTGATAAGAACTAATATAATCTTCATAGTAGTTTACCTTATTGATCCTCTTCTTATGCAGGAAAAAAAATGTTTTTTTGCAACATCGGAACAAACTTTCTCTCCTTTCAATCCATTTAGAAAGTAGGGATATTTTGACAAATACTCATGCTAGGTCAAAACCCAGGATAGAATCCAGGGGATCTCCCTGATGGCAGTCAGCCATGGGACTGCTTAGAGATTTCACTCCCCAGCGTCTGTGGAGTGGCCCAAAGGCTCAGGTTCTGAGAGCCTCAAGGATCACTCTCATTCCAGCTCTCTGGAAGAGTAGTGCATAAGCAAAGATCTATTGGCTCCAAAAAGTAGACTTGGTATATATTGGGCAGAAGGAGAGGGAGGGGCTTAACCACTCTACAGAGGGCTACAAAAGAGACAGCACCTTAGAATAGGGGGAACTTAACATTCCCTGGAAAGGACTCTCACTGCCTAAAGTAATATTGAAAGAATGGCTCTCCTCCTCCCAAAGTGACATTCTCAGTTCATATCACCTCATTCAAGAAACAGATCTGTATCTGTGTATTTCCCATAATGAGTCAACTCTGAATTCGAGGTGTCAAAGTATATAGTGGAAGATGTAGGTAAGATGATGCAAATGTCATTTATGGTTGACGTTGGAATATAGTTAGATGTATTTGTGCTTGTCTCTTCTATCTCCTCCTTCCCCCAAGACTGGTGTCAATGCCCTATTAACTTGTGAAAGCAGAACCTGTGAACACCCCTCCCCCACCCACTTCAAAGTGATGGCACCAAGTATCTGGAGCTACCAAGATACTTGAGAATTGTGGTGTTAGAGCATCCAGATGCTCCTGGAGACCGACCCACCCTCCTAGAGTCTACACTTCAAAACCAGCTATTCCCTTCCAAACTTTTTCCTTTCCCTGAACAACGAGGGATGGGACCAGGTGTCCCGCTCTCCCCTCCAGCCCTCACCATCCAGGCTGTGTGCTTTCCCAGTTTGACAAGATCTGACTTGGAGCCAATGGGTCAGAAAGCTAAGGCAGCCGGGGTCTCCAGCACCTGGCATAGGGTGGAGGCCTTTCCCTAAACTATGAAACTATGAATTCTTTTAAATGGTTTTCCTAAGGCTGCTTCTGGTGACTGTAGACAGCATCCTTTCTCTGCCCATTACTGACTTTTTTTTTTAAATTTCCAAGAGTTCATTTGGCTTCCTTTCTTTGGGTTAGGATGATGCCTTACATATACCAATCCAGGGCTGGTTAAGACTCGGGAATGGGGGGGTGGGGAGTGATTGATAAATCTTATAAGGAAAGATCTTCCATGTCCCCTGTATGACTCTAAACATTGGGCTATAAGCCAGAGTGTGGTTATCTATGTTGACCTGAGAATTTAGCCAGTTCTCAGGAAAAGATGTGCTCTGGGAACCTGGCCAGTTCATCAGAGCATATCAAGTTAATTAATATTCTAAGATGTTTTGCTTACTCCAGGAACTTGGCCAGTTCCTACTAGAATCATGGACACCTCTAGCACTGGGCCTTCTTTGTTAGAGGCCCTATTTAAATCCTAATTCGGAAAGCCATTTTTGGATTCTCATCTATGGAGAGGACGCTCTGCCTGGGACTTTCCCAATCGGGACCCTGAAAGCTGTACCCCGGTAATCCCCAGCTTGGACTTCAGGTGTTGGTGCTTCCCTGAATTGGTGATGTTTTCTTGTATTATTGCTTTATCCTTTGTGTTCTTAGCCTAACTATAGTTATATTGCTGATTGTATGTTGCTGTAAATCTAGCTTTTCTACACTTATGTTAGCATCTTAAATAAAGGTACCTTCACTTCTTTCTCTAGGAGTAGGAGCTAATCTGAACCATGTTTTTCTTCCTTAATCACACAGAGGGATCCCATCTGCTCCATTCATCCTCTTCACATTGTTGGGCTCAGTAAGCAAAGAAATAAACCCACTGAAGCCGCTTCTACCTCCTCCAGTCTGGATCACCCTGCTAAATAGTCAAAGGCAGGATGGCCTGCCCTCTTCTATTCCCTCCTTAGCC